AAAGTTGAGAGCAGTTTGAGCCCTGTCATGTTGAAGTGTGAGTTGGTTATACAGGAACTGTTGGCTGCAGACAACCACAAGGGAGGGAAGGGAGTTAAGCCCAGGAGCTAATGTTAGCTTCGGCTCTGGAGCAGATCACTAAGTCTCGCCTGTGGGAGATGGTCGGGGCGCCAAAGCAGGAAAGAGCTAACGTGTAACCAGCGGCAGTCAAAGAGTCAGTGGTAAAAAAAAAAAAAAAAAATTTATTTATGACCCTTTTTCAAAGATGCTGTACACTGAGATTGGGACCACATGGTGGCATAGTGGTTTGTTCTCTTGCCTTACAGCAAGAAGGTCAGCGGTTTGATTCCAGTAAATGTTGTCTTTTATTACCATATTTACATTCTACACTTCTGTACATAGTATTCACTATATGTGTTTGACTGGTAATACAACTGGCAGCAAATGAATGAATGAAAACACAGCAGGTGCATTAGTATATGTATGTAGGATGTAATAACAGGCTGGAACCACCAGGGGGTAATCGTGATCTACTTGAACACGTTCAGCCCACTGCACTCTCTGACAGTGGCTGCTGATCTTTCAGTTCAGACATGTTTTCTACCGTTTCTTCTCTACTCCAGTCACATGCTCTAATCTGCTGTGACGTCAGTAACCTCCAGATGAGCCTCTGTGTTCATTATGTGGTTCTGCTGAATGTCTGCTCACCACGTGATTCTATATACAGTGTTTTCAGCTTGTTTTTTTTTTAACTCCTCTCCCAGTGTCCTGTCATTGTCCGTACTAAAACAATGTTTTGTTCTGGCTCGGCCTCTGTCCACACGTTTACTACAGAGCTCCCTCTGTTTGTGATGATTCACGTCTCTCCCTCAGCTCTCTCTCTCTCTCTCTGTCCTTTCTGCTTCACGGCTGCCTCCAGCTGCTCCCCCAGACAGACTCCCCGCACACTGTCTGCTCTGCCCTCCAATTAGCCTAAGCCAAACCAGGCCAGCCTGGTTCAAAGAGCCGGCGGTAGTTGCATTGGACGCATCAGTGAGTGACAGGCATGTTGCACTGAGCAGGAGATGAAACATAGGAGGAGGCGGGGGGGCAGCATGTGATACATGGAGTCAGAGGGAGGCCAGGATAAACAGATTCACAGAGGTAAACAGAGATGACACAGCAGGTGAGGCATTCACACCCAGTCATTACATTTAATCCAGAAATAAAACAAGACTAATCATCTCCTCACTCCAGATGTTTAACGGCTGACCTGAACTCACCCCAAGAAACCAGAGATGAATGAAGATTCATATTGAATGCATGAGTGATCATACGTGCACTAACTAACGTGTTTAAGCCAGATACATGCATGTATAGACACAGGTTCACACTTATGTAGAGATGCCCGTGTTAACTCATGCATAGGAGCAGACACTACAGTACATGCAGATGAATGGGGAAAAATATATCTTTGCAACAACATTGGGTTGATGGAAAAAGGAGATCAGAGAAGCTGCTGCAGAGAAGTTAATTAGAAAATTGCTTTAAAAAAGGAATCGAACCCTATCTGGGGAAATTTCGCGGAAAACACTTAATTCAGAGAACGACTGTGCCAGGAACTGATGTGGAAATGACCTCGGGGTTCTGACGAACAACATCTCATCAGATCAGTCACAGAGATCTACACTGCACTGCTTATTATTCTAATATGAGAAATACCCAACACAATCAGTCGTACTGTCGTTTACATTCACCTTACACTACAATGTGACGTTAGGTATTTCACTGATGGAGTTAACAATTGTTTTTGTTGTTACGTCTTCCTCGTCTTGACAACTTCAAGTCGGAGAGACTGAAAAGCTAATGGGTGTTTTGGTTGTTTCTGAACTGAACAGCTGTAACTGAAATGACGTAAAAACACACTCAACATGTGTGTGAAGCTCACAGGTGTGAGCCTGCTCTGAAGAGTCCACTGTCTGGACACACAGGCAGTAACAGCTGTGGTGATATGAGCAGATGATGAGGGGCGCTGTCAAACACACACACACACACACACACACACACACACACACAGTTATCCCCCGTGTCCACAGAACAGCCCTGAGTGGACAACTGTTGATTGCCTGGATGGAATTACAGAGAAACATGTAGCAGCAGTGGATGAAGCTGCCACTGTAAAGTGTGTTGTTTGTGTGCATTTGTGTGGTAGCACACAGGGACAAGGGGCGTCGAATAAAAAAACAGATAAATAAATGGTCTAAGGAAGAAAATGAAAAGTAGTCTGTAGACTGATGAAGACTGTTGAAGCAACTCTCGACGCGTTCTACGAGCCGTCACCAAGACGCACGTCTAATGACTAAACACCAACAACGCTGCAGTACGTTAACGTGTATTCTTAAACCATTTTTGTCATATTTTGTAGATGTGGATTTATTACGATTTAACTGAAAATACAATCGTAATGTATTGTGACTTGTCATGATTTTAATTAATCATGACTATCATAATTAAGTATGATAACAATAATCACGATTAATCATGATTAAAAAAACTCACAATAACATAAACAATGATTAATCGTCATTAATCTACGTTGACCATGTGGTTAATGGGATAAAAACATTGAATTCTTCGACAGCCCTACCATTAATGAAAAATATTATTATATATTATACCAAAACAAAGTTTTTGCTGGATCTAGATCTGTTTTTTTTTATTCATTAGTCATTAATTTGGTCCTAAAAGTTCATCAAAACTCATAACTAATCAAATCCAGAGTTGTTTTTTTTTTTAGATAAATATTTTGACTATTAGGCCTGAAACAAATCCCGTCTCGTCCTGATCTAAATGGGTCACGCTCTCGACGCCCTGATGGTTGTTAAATTCTCTCCTCGTCTCCACCACTGTGGGATCTCTGGGGCTCATTCTGAGTTACTTAGTGAAATCCGACTCCTGCACTGATACTTCAGGGCCACCAAGGAGAGAATGAGTTCCACATGTGGTCACTGTGGAGAGAAGGCGATCGAAACAACGAGCTACGGAAGAACGCACTTTCAGAACTGTGGAAAGACAATCGGTCAAAATAAAAACAAAAACAAAAAAATCCCAGGAGGGTTTGATTCATGTGTGGGAGAAACTGGTGGGAAGAGGGACAAAGAGCGGAGCACTTAGTCAGAGGAGTGAGCATCTCTTTGATATGTAATCTCACCAGTGGCCTGTGGGAGGAATGAAGTAAATGCAGCAGTGGACTCTGGAGTCTGGGATCCTCTTCTTCCTGTCTATGTGGATCTCCTCCTGCAGGTAGGCTTCGTACTGGTCATTGATGAACTTCATGATGGGCTGCCAGCTGACGGAGGACAACAGATGAGAGGGGGGGTCATCTCACTATGATCTACAGGGACTGTGGTGAGCACTGGTACAACAGGTGGCTAAAAACATTCATTTGAAAAGTTAAAATATTATTATAGTACAAAAAATAGAAAAGAATAAAAAATAAAAAAGATTTTTTTGATTTTCTTAAACATTATAGTTTCAATGCTATTTCAGTCCAAATGACCAAAAACAATAAATAATTAGGTTACTGCAGTTACCTACTACAGTTATTACTACGACTACTTCATCATAGTGACATCACTGAACAATGAAATGTCACATCAGCATTTTAGATTTGACCCATCACCATAGGGGGCAGCAGTGTGTGGGGACGGTGCCATGCTCAGAGCGCCTCAGTGGTAACTTGGCAGCCAGATTATCTTTAATCTTTTTTATAAAAGACTTTCTTTTTTTTTCAGGCCCTGAGGCTGTGGAATAAACAACACAGTTTGAAAACTCACCAGTTTTCATTGTTGATCTGATCTCCAAATCCTGGAGTGTCAATTACAGTCAGCTTCATTCTCACTCCTTTCTCCTCAATATCTGGTTAGACACACACACACACAGAGAGAGAGAGAGAGAGAGAGAGATCAGACATGGTGTGAAGATGCAGTCGACAGCAGACATTCTGGGCAGTGATGTGGGTTCAGGCTGCTGTGTGTGAACATGTGCCGACCGTGACTGATGGACTTGATCTCGATGGTCTTGGGAATCCTCTCCTCGGGTTTGGGCTGAACAGATTTACGGCTCACCTTGGATTTAAACAGGGTGTTCATTAGAGTCGATTTACCCAGACCACTTTGACCTGTGGGAGAGAGAGAGAGAGAGAGGGAGAGAGAGTGGGGGAGTCATCTTTTCTGTAGATCTGTACATCTTGACAGTGTCTTCTAGAATGTGTTTAGAGATTATTTTTTTCTTTCTTGAGGTCGACCTGCTTCAGTGAAACTAAAACACACAGCGTGTGTAAATAACGTGTATCGACTGTGTATTCCGGTGGATGGGAGGGAGAACTTTGGGATATACATTGCATACATGTATTGTGGCTCACATTGTGAAGTGGTTATCTTGCCTGCCTTACCTATTACCAGAAGGTCCAGGGTTCAAGCCCCAGTGGAACCATGTACTGTAGTGGACTAGTAGGTCAATAATGTTGTCTGAATGGATTAAAAAATGTTTTTTTGAACTATATTGATCCCTTATTTGGAAAAGTCTTGTGTTAACAGCAGATCTGCAGTAATTTCTTTTGAGATTCTTCATTTTAGGGAAATAGTTAATGGGATTCAAACTGTTTGGATTGCACGAGTGTGTGTGTGAGTGTGTGTGTGGTTATAAGAAGGACAGCTGCAGGGTCAGATGATCGAGTTGAGGTCATCAGGAGGACAGATGGACCCCACACACACCAACGTCTGTGAGTTCACCCAGACCCTCTCCCCTGAATCCCAGACGATGACCCTGAACCCTGACTCCACACAGTTACGACCCGACTGAAAACCTCAAATGATCTCTGGTCTGTGTGATCCTATAATATACCTGTTCTGATGCCCTCACGTTGTCGACGTGTTTTTCCACCCCCAACCCCCTCACCCCGCACCAACGTCAGTTAGGACCTTTGTTGTTCCACACTTTTACCACTCCTGCCCCCTGTTGTGTAAAACACACACTGCGTTGATTGTTGGTAAACCAGTCACTCTCCTGTTAGAATAATATTTTTATTGCACGGTTCACGCGGTGGGTGTAATTTCCGTGATCATGCCTCCTCCTCAGCCTGACAGCCTCCTTTTATCCACTCTACAGCGTTTGTGTTTGTCGAGTCACGTACAAGAGAAAAAAGCTTTTCTACAGACGGCACCACGCTGACTGGCCGTTTTCAGAACAACAGAACCTGAAGCACGCACTTATCTTTACGCAGAATCAAAAGAGAGAAGTGTCAAATTAAACATAATAAAAAGTGAGAAAATGCATGTTACAGGTCAGAGCTCACACACATCATGTGTTTGACATCCTGACAGGATACGCAGCTCACTCTCAGATACACAATTGCTTGTTCTTTCCTGCTTTGTTATGTACTGTGTGTCGTTGCTGCAGCTTAAATTGAAAACATTTTTTAAATGGTTACCATCCGCTCTTTTTTTTTCAGGGTGCAGTACAGAACAGACTGCTGTAAACACAGGACATTTGGAAACGATTACATCTGCGAGGCCTTTAGGATACATGTCTGTCAGTTTGGATTAAAGTAAAATCAAATCACAATAAAGACGTGTAATCAAGCTTAGCATCGCACACACAGTTGGATGAGAAACAAATCCTCTGCAAAACAGGGGGAAAAAAATAGCAGTTGTACTCCAAGTGGTATCCTGTTTTTCTTCAAATTTTGCATCCGTACATGCAGAGATTAGACACAGATTCTACTGAAATAGATTTTACTCAGTGTTTCAAACATGAGGACCTCGTTTATTTCTATTTAGTTTTTCAAATGCTAGTCTGCATCTCCCTCCTGAAATGAGTCAACAACTTTTTTTTTTCTTACAGAATGAACTTTGACTTGGTTGTTGTGGTCGTGTAACTGTTGATTTAATAACTTAACTTTTAGCTCGACCTTTACCAATAAGTACCAACAACAGATATAATTAAGGCCATGGATCAAAAAAAAATTAAAAGTTTGTTTTTAAATGTGATAAAAATGTAAAATAATAATTATTAATTAATTAAATTAGTTAATTCATTTTTTTTTTACAAAAACAACCAAATATGCAATTTTTTACTGGGGATTATTTCTTTAACAACGACTGTCTTCAACATCAGGACATAGAATGTACTGCAAACTCACCGACAACCATGACGTTGAACTCAAACCCCTGTTTCATGGCCTTCCTCCTCATCTGCTCCAGGATGGCATCGATGCCCACGTAGGTGAAGTCGCTGTCGTTGCTCTTGTCCCCCTTGACCTGAGGACTGGGGTGGTGGGGCTTGGACTCCGACATGCTGTGACTAAGATTGACCTCTGACCCTGTGGGATGCAGAAAACAAAATAGATAAGCAGAAGAAACACAGACTCCCAGAACTGGAGCAGGAACGTAGAAGAGTTACAGTTAGAGTGACTTCAGAGCAAATACTACAGCAGATATCGTCTGAGCAGATCACTTCCTGTGTGAAACAGGATATACCAAACCCAAAAGCAACGTAGAGGCACTTGATTTTACCAGACAGCACAAGCAGGAGTGAGAGGTTCAAAAACGCCTCATGTAAAGATTTAGATTGGAGGAAAAAAAATTTAAAGCCTTTTTGGGAAATTTAAACTCTAAAATGAGAAACTTCCAGGTTTGAATTTTGAATCAAGAAGATACCAACTGTTGTCAAAACAACAACAGCTTTGATCAAGAAGATACCAACTGTTGTCAAAACAGCAGGGTGAAACAAAGCTGCAAGATGGGCAAACACTTCCTGTGAAGTGAGGCTTTCAGTCACAGACACGACAAACCACAGACAGATCCACCTGAAGCTGAGGGGCAACAGTCGTCCTCACTACAGAACAGCTCACGCCCCCCCCCACCCCCGACCAACAAACATGAATGAAGATGTGCAGAACATATAACAGAAGTGTGTGCTCAGTCTGGAGACGATAAACGATGAATGTTTATCGTCTTTGTGAAAGAACTAACATGTTGTGGGGTTTTTGTCACAGACTTCCTGTCTGTTCATCTCACACATCATTTCATCTTTGTGAAAAATAAGTCAGTCATTTCCATCCTTTTTAGGTCAATCAAGATGTGCCAGCTCAGAAACTTTTATAGGCTGAGAAAAAATAGTTTTTTTAAGATTGTGTGTGCGTTTTATTAATTAGAATTTTAAAAAATTAGTTTGAAAAAAATATTTTTATCAGTCATTTTTTTAATCAATTCCTAGAGATGACACCATTTGAATCCAGAAAATCCTACATGGGTTCACGACCCAAAGGTTAAAAAACACTGCCATGGGTAGATACTAGTTCTATGTTATTATTAGATATTAGTACTAACATGATTCATCAGATCATATCAGATTAATATAAGGACAATTATGAAACAGGAAGAACAGATGCCAAAGGACAACAAAAGAATTGCAAGGACTTTCAAGGTTCTGGCTCACAGCAACACTCACTGATCATCTACCTTGATATTTTACCAAATGTGTGAAGAACAACACAAAAGACGTGAGGAGTTTTGTCAAAACAGAGCTGGAGTCTATATTCCACCACACCTTCATCTGTCTCCATGGTGTCCATCACTCACTTCAGCCTTCTTCACCCACACAGCATGATAAACAGTGCTGTGGAAGCACATGTGGCTTGGACTAAACTCAACACATCCACTATGAAAACAGTCAGAAACACAGGGAAACATCCAGTATTTCCCTCTGTCCTTCCATCAACACATCCCCAAAAACGTTCTTTAACCTTGACTCTGTCAGTGTAACATCATCCCTGGATCTCACTGGAGCAAAAGCCTTGGAGTGAAACTACTGGATAACTACAGTGGACAAGAGCTGACTTCATCTGACTGTGACAAGATAACAGGTCATGGAAGTGCATACAAGATTTCTAATTTGGATAAAAATCAAATTCTCTGTTAACGAGACGAGTTCTCAAACATTTATTTAGATCACGGAGTGTCATTTGGTTAATGTCCAATCAGACAGTGGTTCAGTCTGGGTGCCTTGAACAGCTCTAATGACGCCCTGCAGGTCTGCAGCCGAACTACTCCGCGGACACCAGGAACACGCGTCAGTCCCTCGGCCATCTGCTGTCTTACAAGACTGTGCTCCAAGAATAGAGCAGCAGTCACACTGTGGTGGAGACGAACACAGAGTCGAAGTAACAAAAACAAGCTCCGTGTGAGGCGTGTGAGCCAGCAGCGCTCACATCCACTTGTCCTATGATTCAGTCATAGCTGTACCCCGGCTCAGGGGTAATCAGAATTCCCTGCTGGATCTTTTGATACAAAACACTGCTGCTGTAGTTCAACAAACGCACACTAGTCTGTCTGACTCACAGCAAGTCAAAGAAAACACTGATTTCTTTTCTCCTTTTGTTCTAAATATTTTTTTTTTCATTTAACATGCACAAAATATCATAACAAGTGCATGGCAACATTTTCAAGGTCTTACACAAAATACTGTTTAGAATGTTTTATTTAACTGTTATTACACCTGGTAATGAATTGTGAAGGTGTTTAAAATGTTTTTATAAAAAATGCCTTTTTAAGGTGGTATTCTAAAACCTCATAGGAACGAGTTAAAGATGAAATGTGCTTTATAATGACTGATAAAGGAACAACATGTCATTTGTTAGCGTGACAGCGGCTAAATTACAGTACTAGCTTTACCATTAATTTAATCCACAAAGGCCTGTGAAGTGTTCATTTCACTAACAGCTGTTTTACATGTTATTTTTCCAAAGAAAATACAAAAAAGAAAATCCTTTCAACTAAAAATATACAAAAGAAAACCCTTACATCATCATCATTTCAGGGTTGGGCGGCATGACTCAGTGCCCTCAACCGTTATATCCAGAATGATCTTAAATATAACAGCCCTGGAGGACATATAAAAATAGGACAGTGTTTCAGACACTGGAGACGTCACTGAAATAGGAGACTTATTTAACAGAGGCCAGAAAGGCCAGAGGGATTCATCAGGGGAAGCACACGTTCATTCAAACGAAGAGTATGAGAAACTGTCCTGCGTTCGACTCCAAAATAACTGTCAAAATAACTCAGAGATAAGTTCCAGCACATGCTCTGTTTTTCATTCTTCTTCTTCTCTTTTTAGGGTGAACCGACTGAGGAGCTTAGTTTAATGAGTGGAGACCATTTCAGGTCTGATTGGACAGAGCCCATCAAAGAGACGACTTCATCCTCAACTCTCTTTGATGATTTATTTCTTTTTTTTTCTCAGTCCAATGATTCGAAGTGAGTTTAAAGGTTTTGAACACAGAACTCTACAGTGATGAGAAAAGAACACAGAGACGTTTTTATAAACTGTTCTACAACCACCCAAAACAAATGCACGAAACCACAGCTCTTACTTCCTCTTCAGAAACGTTGGTAGTGTGATGGGGCACGGCAGTCAAAAGCACCCACTAAGACACGACTGTCACTTCCCCGTCACGTGGAGCTACAGTTCTGCCCAGTCTGTGAAAACAGCTCTTAATAATTCTCCTGATTTATTAGTTATTATAAGTTATTCTGTGAGCGAACCAAAGCTTTCTGTGATATGAAATTCAATGAAATACCCATTTTTAATTACTGCATTGTTTCCCAAAGACTGGGTCGTGACCCTCAGGTGGGTCACAAGAATTTTTTTTGGGGTCATCTCGCATCATGTTTCCCAGGAGTTTATGAATAATGTCTATTGACTTGGGTCGTGAAGGTTTGTGACTCCCCAGAAAAAAAGTTGAAGTAGGGTGGTCCCAGTATCTTTTTGTATTTATTTTTCATTTGTGCACTCGCGTATTTTAAACACTGTCACCAATACTTCTTTAGAGTTGTTTTTAAAAAAAAAATGCAATGAACTGACAGGCAGTGTAAAGGAGAAAAGTGTGTGCAAGTTCAACTCAAACCACAGGGAGGACACCAAGCAGGAAACTGCTTACAGCCTGTTTTATTTTCTCTCTCTTTTAACAAAAGGCTATTTCAGTGAAAATATAAATAATGTTTATGTAATTCTGCATTTTACTAAAAAAGGGATTAAAATTATTTTTTTTAAAAAGTAATTAAAATTCAACTTTCTTCTTCAGAGGTGTCCAACGTCAAATCTGACAGCCGTTTCACTCAGTCACTGCTCAACACATTTGTTGGGAAACAACAAAAAAGAATACAGCAGAATTTATGGCTGCTAAGCCTGAACACCAGCATAGTTCAGTGGAGACAAGAAAATAACACAGGACTCTGAGGCAGCATTCTTGTCTGGCCCAAACCATCTCTGGCAAGAAATGTTTGAATCAAACGTGCAAACATTTAGCTGACAGAAATCAATAACCACAATTCCAAGGCCACTTTGTTCTTTCCATAAACAGTCCTGTAATCTAACCAAACTGGAAAAAAAAATAGTCTCTGCTCTTTCTGACACACGTCTCTGTTTTTACTGTAAAACAAAAAAAAACTTTTTTTTTCACTCTGCACTTTTCGAACGCAACACTCTCTGCTGTCATTAAAACCCCATCTCTGCCTCTATTTAATACTCACCAAGTGGAACCTGATCTACTCGCCAATCCCTGAAACAAAGCACTGACTGTATTGTTAAGAAACCTCCCAAAAATCCAGGGATGTTTTGTTTTCAGCAGTGCCAACATACCGGAAACCCACTGCCCTGCTTTGCATTTTTAGAGAAACTGGTTTTTCCTTGTTGTTGTTTGGACTCTGATGACTACGGCAGCACAGAAATGCAAAGCAGTAAGTTAGAAAAAAAAAACAGTGAGAATGTGAAAAAAGACATCTTTTAACACGTACTGCAGCATGTGAAACATTAGCATTGTTAGCACGTCATATTCATCCAAGGACTTTTGACTTTCCTCCATGACTAATAATGTATTTCTATAAGATGTGATCATTTCTGGACAGATATCAAACGTTGCTCTCATGGGGAAACAAAGCTTCTAGTTTGAGCTAAAGTAATGCAGATGTTTGACTCCTTATGAAAAAGAAATGATGAGATGATGTGAAAATCCAGCTGCTGTCATGTCGATTGCAGCTGCAGGAGTCAGATGTTTGACTCCTTATGAAAAAAAAAATTGTCTGAAAATCCAGCTGTCATGTCGATTGCAGCTGCAGGAGTCGTGCTCTTCAATAATCATTTACATATATATATATATGTCTATACACACAGGACCAAATACAGTGTCCTACTAACCCTATCCTTAACTGCATGTTTCTGGACTAGCTGTCAAGGTCTGAACCAGAAATATTTATTCTTTAAGAGAGTCTTTTCCAAACATGCCCTGCAGTGTCCCCCCCCCTTTATGTAAATAGGAAT